AGTAATTAACATAAATAAATTTTACGTTTATTTAATTAGTAATATTAGTTTAATATTAAAATAAAGTATTCATAAAATTATTTTCTTTTAATGAATATTAAAAAAATATAAACAATATTTTGGATATCGCACGCTCTTTTTTACCACTAAACCACAACCCTACTTCAATGTCCTGTAGCGTTGTCATTTTTATCACTTTGATTATTATAACCACTTCTGTCATTTATTTAAATAACTTTGTTCCATATTGTAAATATAGTGTATGCATTTGTAAATATAAATTTGCTAAAAAATTTAATTTACATTTCATGAACATATAAGATAAAAAAAATTGTCACGATTTTTTACGATTGTGTTTATAATTGAATTTAATTGTTTTCAAAATGCCATTTATATAACACGTCCTATTCTACGGTGTATTCAGTTATTGAGATGATATTAAATTTCGGTTTATATAAAATATAAATTGCAAAAACAAATGCTCGGGAACTGCACGCTCCTCTTATGACAAAACTACAGCCTTACTTCAATGGAGCCGCAAGCCGAACTCTTTTATAGGCAGTGTTGTAATTCTTACAAAATTCCTTTTGACTTACTCCGTATGTCTGAGTGCTACGTTGAAATATTTATTGTATGCATATAATAAAAGTGTCGACGTAACTTTTGTAGGTAATCTATGTATGTACGACACTACATACGATTACTCATAAAAGGTATAACAAATTGAAATTCTTTATTTGTGAAGTATAGGTTACAAAGGTCTACGAAGAGATAGTAAGTTTCACTGTCTTCTGCAGTTACGCGTATAAATAAGATTGGAAACACACTATATATATTATTGTAGGATAATATAAAATAGTTAATCTTTGTCCAGAAATACATTTATGCTATAAAAATTTTATAACAAAAGCGAAACTCAGTGACGTTATTTTGTTCTCTTTATTTTGGCGACAGACAGTCATTATATAAATATATGCCGAGTGGTTACTGAAGTAAACAAAAGTGGAAAGATGATAAAAACGGTCACATTTTTGTTACATAGGTACTTAGTTTGCGCGGCCACATGATCAATTTAGTAATAAAAAATCAACTTACTAATATTATAAAGAGGTTATATTTGGGAGTATAATTTCTAAATGAACTAACCAATTTCGGAAATTATTTTATTGTTGGATAGTCCATTTATCGAGGAAGATAAGCTATATAACATCATGCTACGACCAATAGGAGCGGAGCTGCAATGAACAATGTTGCAAAAACGGGAAAAATGTAGCTCAAATGGACTCAAACATCCATTCTATTATAATTATTATAATTCAGACTTCTACTTTGTTTCTTAAAATTGTTCAATGTTATTAGTATTCTATGACTTTTAGCTCGCTATAACATTCTCTGATAACCCTGTAATTTTTTTTCTTTTATGTAAACAGGAGGGGAGGAAGGGAGGGGGGGAGCCCTTCCGTTCTCCCCCCTCCTCACCAAATAGTAATACATATGGTAACCCTGTGTGTTCTGACATCCTTTCCCAATCCTTATATCCTTGTATTAATGAACACATAACAAGATATTGCATTCATTCAATCAATTCCAAATTCAAATATTCCCGCCAACCAGTGTTAACTGCTTGAGCGTGTGAACCCCGATTAAAGAAAAAGTGTGTTCCTTATGGCTGTCTATATATTCTATGTGAATATAAACAAGAAAATCTGTCTGAATTCATGAGTCTAGTGTATTATAATTGTGACACAAACTGCTGGTGGTGTGTGGAATCGGAGTCAAGGACGAAGGGTGATCCCAAGGTCTTCAATTCACCATCAAATTAGCCCGGTCGGTGAGTCCCGCCTTCTCCTACCTATTTCTGTCAGCACACAGTCATCTGCTGGTTTCTAGGAATATTCAAACCTTTCTCAGGCAGGTGAATAAAATACCTCAGATTTCTTTAGCAATTTATTCATATTCTCCCACCCTGTATAAAATATTATCTTTCATGTAAGCACCTCCATTTATCTTCGGATAGAAATGCACTTATGCAGTAACCCTACATTTATTCCAAAGACTAAGATGATTAACTACTTCCGTGATTTAATTTTATGTGAACTCCCTCACCGAATAGTAATGTACTTATGTACATAGTCCTACATTACTATTCCCGAAGACTAAGATGTCATGCTTCCGCGATCTAATTAAGTAATTCTACTACCACATATCAGTTATCAATTAGAAACACAGTTTACAAAGCAAGCCACTTGGCGACTGAAACACGAGTAGGTGCGGTGAGGTATTCACGCAGACGGTTTTGTGTGCCTGGGTCTTTATGCACTTCTCCATATGAATCTTAATTACGTCAAATCTTTTGAACAGGTCGTTTCTGTGTGGAAGTTGCGTTTAAAATGGGTATAGATTTATAATTACTATAGAACATCAAATCAATGACGACCTAGGTGATCACCTAGGCCGTCACAATGCCGTTTCAGATCCCTAATACCTATAGAAAACATTTTTATTGCGTAACATTTTTATTAGTTATAGCATAATTAAAAAAATATTCAAGTGTTTAATAATTTAACTTCACTGTTAGTTTACGGTTATTTTAAAATTTGATGTCCTCGGTAGTTTAGCGGTTTAGCACACCGCCTTACTTCCGATGGTCGCAGGTTCGATTCCTCGCACGGTGCACAAGTTTGTATTCATGTGTATGATTGTTTGTATCGGTCTTGGTGTTTTCTATATGTAATATGTATGTATTTACAAAAAAATATATGTCTAAGTATTTATATCAGTTATATAGTACCCATAAGACAAGCTTAAGCTAGGTTAACTTGGATATAGATGGCGCTCTGTGAATTCTCCTGAGATTATTATTATTATTAAATCAAAAATCATTTATTCTTATGTTATGTTATCTTCTTATATTATGAACATCAAGTTTTTTGTATTAATATATTTTCCCCACTATCCAGTTCAGTATACAGATACAGTTAATAAGAACTAGGAAGAAACTCAACTGAGTTTATTTATATAGTACACTGACTACAATATAGGTCTAATATTAAAAGTAGTATTGTCATTCAAGTAATCGTTTAGTGAGTAATAGAATTTGCTCAATAAATATCATTTAACAGATGTTTTAAATTTATTTCAACGTAATTTTAGTTTATCCTTTAGTATATTATTGTAAATTTTTATACCTATTTCCATTTCAAGATTTATAGACTTTCTAAATGACACATAGACACATCAAATCTTTAAATCTAGTATTAATGTTGAACATAAATTACCATCATCAGTCGTCAGCATGATAAAGTGAATTTCCAGCACATTTAATTTGCCATCTTGAGTAAATCGTTACGTAGCTGTAAGTATGTCAATTCGTTTCCTAATGATGGCGTTGCTATGTGTTTTCAGCATCCATTCATACTGCTTTACGCTTCTGAATACAGTCACTACTCTGTATTTTCGATTCGCACTCTATGTTAGTTAAGTATCTCATTAATCTATTGTTTCTTTTAAAATAAGTAGCTTCGGTTATTTTGCGCTATTACTATCTGCTTAAACTTCTTATTTGCTTGTAGAAAGAAGGCTCGCTCTAATCACTACGACTGATATATTTTGTTATTCGTTTCTGTTATTTGATTCGAATTTAAAAAATGAATCTGTATTTTTGTAAACATGTATAAGCTCAGTTGAAAAGAATAAGAGCTTCTTGTCAGTTCTTTTTGGTTCGAAAACCAAGATGAATTTAATGATGATACTATATCATTGTTAAACCAAAGCACTCCAAACTGACGCTACATTTGACATATCATAAGAATCGATAATTAGATCTAAATTAATAAAGATAGTTTAATATGATTTGACGAAAGTAACTATTTATTTACTCTTATGAAATTAAATTATTCCTAATTGGAAGTTTGTATTCACACAAAATCTTGAAATTTAAAGTTGAACGTTAATTTAAAAGAGCAACAAGGGAGTTTCTTGCTGCGTTCTCTTTATGCTAAATGAGTGGTAAAATAAAAGACTTTCCTTACGGGTATTAAGTTTTTTAAAATAAAATTATTTCTATTTCTATACAAAGCAGAGAGCACGTCTTTCTTACTTATGTTCATGTCTATATTTAAATGAAAGAAAAGATAATATTTGTGATAATCGTGTTTTATTATTTATATTTGAATTTTAAAGTACAGAATCAGTCTTCGTACGTAACCATTGTATGCCAAGTGAAATAGTTGCGGAAATAGATTATTGCTGTAATACTATAACCACAGATAACATAATATTACATAAAATGTTCATATCTTTTAAACAAGGAACTTTCAAAATTAGGTCGTCCTTCGTTTTGTGAATGTACTTTACTAAATTTACGATTATTTACTAAAACTTTTTTTCACATTTTAGGACTATATGATCTTATTGTTCGCAATTGGTGAAATATGTAGTTAGAGTTTTTTTTTATACTCATAGCATATATAACATATTATAAACTGAGTTCATCAATAGAAATTAATCTAAATATGATAGAAAATTAATATAACCGACAAAAATAATAACTTTTTGTATTTTTATATAAAAATGTTTTTAGGACCGTCAACTAAACGAATAAGTATTATTATATTTTGCAATTTTGCTATTTTGTTTTTGGATATTATCATAACTACTATTAACATAGTTAAATTTAGTCTTTCTAAACCTATTTTTTTCAAATCGACTTGGAAGGTTTCTTAAAATTTGCTTATCGCAATTAAAGACAAAATTTAATGAAGATAGAACAAGATTTAGCGATTTATCTAATCATAAGTCACTAATTACAAGTTAAAAACGATATTTAGGCTCCTGAAGTACAATTAATGATTTTAGTGCCTTAACATTAACAAAATAGAGATTATACAGACAGCAGATTATAGCTTTTTACAGATACTTACTATTCAAAGATTAATAAATTAAATAGAATAAAATAAAATAAACGTAAACTTCAAAAATGATCAGTTTCGGTATTCTTAAACATGTATTCAGGTTCTTTTTATTTCCTTGAAATTTACGGACTTTTGTACAAACTAAAAGTAGATGCCAGTTCCATTGTACCCTAAAACTAATAACTATATCGCTTTTCCGGTGATCTCAGGTTGATCTTCAACAATGCTAATATTATTACTTTAATCCATTTGTCCACTCGATCCATTGTTGAAATCAATAACATCGTTAATAATATCAGCGACATTTTTGTTTTCAATGATATTCACATGATTACTATCAAAGAAGTGTATAGTTACAGGCGCCTCGCTAAATTTATCAAGACCATAATTCTCTTCACAAACTATAAATGGAGGATTTTCTTTTGGTCTCAGAAGTATAATTGGTGATTGTAACTTCTTAATATTTACTTTATCGTAGTTGTAAACTACCTTCATACGATCGAAGCATACTTGAGCTGTCGATGCGATAAATTCTTTTGAATAATTAGTTTGTACTGGGGATACTTTGACACTGTAATCAATTCTTTCATCATAATTCTCTATTTCATTGAGTTTCTCCATTAGAGTATCAGTGACTTCATTATTTGGTGATACAATATCTATAGTTTTACAAATAAGACTGTTTTGCAGTTGGAAGTCATTCTTGAAGTCTACCATAGCATTACCGATGGAGAGAAGGAAGTCAGGGGCGCCGTCTAAGCAGAATATAGTACCCTTGATACCTGTACAGAGTAAAACTTTATATGTTGGTAATGTTTCCTACAAATACGAAAGGGATATAACATAAAATAAGTTTATTAAATGTTTAATGTGTTTATTAAACATTTAATAAACTTATTTTACATTTTGAAGTAATGTCAAATAGTTAAAATTAAATAGTTATTAGAGACTAAAACGTAGAACGTTTATTTTGTTCTAAAATTCTAAATGTGACAGGCTGAATAAGGTGTTTTGTACACTGTCAAGCAGAAACTGCTTGAATGAATTCGATTAAAATTTGATACATCTAGATGTATCAATTCACTCAGGAAGTATGATGATTAAATGATATAAGAATATATTTTACCTTGACTCTCCAATTTAGCCGCTAAATTCAACGCTAGTATAGTTCCAAAACTATACCCTAGCAGCCAGAACTTGGAGCCAGGTACCAATTTGGATATCACCACCTATAATAGATATAATAAATTGAATTTCAACAATAAAAGTGCCAAAATACTGTTTTAAATTTGACGCCGTCATTATTTATACGTATAAACTCTTGCGAAATATTGGGAACTCAGCAAATAAATATAAAACGTGGTAAGATCCCGTTATTTTTACTAATTATACGTATAAAAAGTGTCAATATTTTTAAAAGCGATTGGTATATAGGTATTTAAATATAGTTTCAGAGATTATCGTCTCTCTTGTCTATACTAATATTATAAACAGGATTTTTTTTGTGCGTTTGTTTATTACTAATTTCACCTACATTACTAACAAATAATTTAATAACATGAAAATATACTTTCCTGTTACTAAAGCTCTTTCAACTATAGATCTACTGTGAAACACTTTAAAATACATATTTTTTTAAATACATTAATTACAGTCATAGACATGAGTACATATATTTGTATCGTTCGCGTAATCGAACTCACAACCATAGGAAGGTAAGATGTGCTAAAATGCTAGAACATCGAGAATGTCTACTGATAACAATCATAAAGATTTATTAAAAGCAGAGCAGGATAGACTTATTCCAAATTATCAACATATTCACCTGATACAGTCTCTCCACCATTTGGTCGCAGTTTTCATTTTTATGCACAGTTCCAAGTTGCAACACGCAAACTTCGATGTTGAGCCTACGGCACAGTGGATCTAGTACTGCAGCGGAACCTTCTACTCCTGGTAGCATGATCATTACATCCTCCATAGCATGTATTGCTTCTTGTTCCTGAGAAACCACATGTAATCTTTTATTAATGATTTTTAAATAGCAATTTTTAATTGCGGTTTTTAAAAGCTTTTTTAGCTAAACTAGTGGTAAAAATTTCCTATATGATTGTTTGTGTTACAATTTTTTTTAGTTTAATATTATTAAGAAATTATATTCCATATAATTACTTAAAAATTATAAATTTTAATCAACACGTATATATTTAGGTATTTGTATGTCTAGCTTTATGTGTACACTCTTTTGCCTCGTTAAATCTATTCGCTTGTGAAAGAGGACACGTGATATTTCAGGTGATATAGAAATAATATATTTTTATATCACCTGAAATATCTTGCTTTCTATAAATGTATGAGGTCCACTCAGGAGTCTGAACAGATCTTAAATAAATTTTACTCTTATAGATTGTATGAGGATTCACATAGGCTATCCTTTATGTTAAAATATCATGAGATGCGACTAATGAAATGATGTAAATTAAGAAATTGCAAATGGATAGCTGAACAATTAATCTTACTTCTATTATATTGCTAACTGCAGTGGTCATAAAGATGAGTGGTTCGTTGGCTAATTTTTCTTCTCCGAAATTCCTTATAAGTATCTTGAGACCTGCAGGAACCTCAATATTTCCTTGTTTAACTACAGCTTTTGATGCAGTACTATCACTTTCCGCTGATAATTCCAGTAGTCTAAAAGTTAGTTCCAATTTATAGTATTATTATAATTATACCTTCAAGACTATTGTCCTAGATGGGGTAGTCAGAGGCAATTTTACTGTCGACGGCGTGGTGGACGCAACAGTGGACTTGCCTACTTTAGTTCGGTATATTGAAATCTAGCGTGGCTGAAGTTGAGCCTAGCAATGTCTCTCAGATTAATTTGGTTTGCTACCGGTATTTCTATCAGCAGTGAGTTAATCAGGAATATAACTCGCAATTTTTCGGCGTAAGATACTAATCACTAGGCACCAACACTTTCAAGTTTAAAATAATTAGATTAAATTAGCAATAATTTAATAGTATATATAGAATATAAAGTATCTTAAGGGTCGATAAGGCCTACGTGACACTCCTAGTATTCCACACTTAATATTTCTAGCGTTTATAAGCTACGGTTACCATATATTAGGCCATATGCTTGTTTGCTATCATCGTGGTATTTAATAATATTAAAAATCTGCCTATAGCTATCTTATTTGCGATACTTTTACATAAGAAAATCATTGTACTCTTTCCTTCTTACCTGGCGAAGGTTAGCGTTCTGATATCTTGTGCAGTGAGAATTATCTCGAATTCTCTTTCAAGAGTCTGTTTGATTTCCACAGCCATCATACTATCCATGCCCAATTCAGCTAAAGTGACTTGTCGCGACACTGTTTTCAAATCCCTAATACCTATAGAAATATGTGTAACATTACCATTATATTAGTTATTTCTATTTATTCCAAAGTTAAAAAATGTTCAAGTGTTTAACTAACAAAGTTACATTTTAAAATAAAACTAATAACAATAAGAAATGTGGAAAAAGTTGTGAGATTGAGGTAATAATTTATAGATGTTTTTTTTATGTAACTGGCGTGCAAGAAGTCACTGGACCACCTTATGGTAAGCTGGAGCGTCGCCTATATACATGAAGAATACTACTCATTCATTGTTCTTATATTAATATATATTGTCAACATAAACAGTTTATAAAGCAGGCTGGTTAATGATTGATATACTCGTGAGAAAGAAGCATTCGTGTTAACATCAGGTTTTTTTACGTATGCGACTTTATAAAATGCCAGCCTCGGTTAATGCATGTCATTCGTGTGAAATTAGTCTTCGGACCACAAAATGTTAAAATAAAGCCTATGTTTATTAAAGGAAAGAATGTTAATAGTAATAGGTAATAATAAAAAAATCAACAACGTGCTCGTGAAGTGGATTTCAAGAAAAACGCGTGCGTTTTATAACGCAAATACTGAAGTTATATACGAACTATTTGCTATTTTTTATCAAATTTCGAAATGAGCGCCACGCGGCGCTATCTAGTAGGCAGGGCGACTTAAAAGACTTAAAATGGCGGGAGAACGTATCACTTTAATAATTGTACTTTCGCTGTCTCAATAATTAAAAATAACAAAATATATTATTATTTAAAAGATCACATTGCAACTTTCTTGTGATAAGACTTTCCGAATGAGCGGTTAAAATTGAAAAAAAAAATGTGTTGACTACTCAAAAGTGCTTCAATATTAGCTTATTTGAATAAGATACTTTTTTTCTTTTCTTTTCTATGGTTTTTTTATTCTGTTTCCTTGCAAGTGTGTGAAAAAGGTCGTACTATATTCGTGCGTATTTAACACACTCGGCTTTATTATGCTCTCACCGTAGGCTCGGGCTGAAATTTCGCCTCGTATGTTATAATCATCATGACACTTATATCGTAATATACTATAATTGAAATTTGTACCCATAATATCAGCTATGGTCTGAACAATATCCCCACTATTAGAACTACCAGTCTTTTTCTCAGCAACAACGATAGACGAGACGATTGGTGCATCTTGTTTCAAAAACTTGTCCAAAGTTAATAAACACGATGATATCCGCTGCTGCAAAGTTCCACCAATCTCCAGCTGTACGTCTTCATATTGCATATCTGCTACTAAACCAACCTAAAAAGACGTAGAACTATTTACGAATGTAAAATAATAGATAATATTATACATTTATTACATTCTTACTAATATTACAAATGTGAAAGTAACTCTGTCTGTCTGTTTGTCTCGCTTTCGCGCCAAAACTATTAAACCAATTTAAATGAAATTTGGTTTACAAATAGTCTAGACCCTGAGAAAGAATATGGTGTACTTTTCAATGCGAAAACAGGGTCATTTTTAAAGCTAAAAAAGCTTGAAACTTTTTCTTTGGATTTTTGGGCTAAATTATTCAATATTTCTTCTTTATTTGATCAATGTTAATATTCTACGAACGAATACGCGGATGCAGTTAGTAATAAATAAATAAATATTTTATATTACTATATATAGATATATACTAACATCACCAATTGCACCCCACTGAATAGCAAGACCAGGCAATCCATCTTTCTTCCTTTGTTCACAAATTCTTTCCATAACTGAGTTCGATAGCCCATAATTGGTTTGTCCAGCGTTACCTCGACCACATGATACCGATGAGAATACTACAAAGTTCCTGAAGGGACAATGTATATTAGAAGTATATTATTACAACAGATCTATAAAGTAGACAGATACAGAATCAAATTTAGTAAAGTAGTCAAAGGCATAATCTTTAGACGTAACATTTGGCACGTCCACTTTTGTCTCCATGGAAACCAACATGTCGTGGAGTAAGTCAAATGCCGTCTCTCGGATTACTTTTCGATTGTTGTCTATATTTCTATCACCGTACTACCTATTTATGTTATTTAGGGCGCTACTAAATATTTTATGATATTTAGTGGCGTTCATATATGGAACTAATTAATTTTAGGTACAAAGGGTAGTCCACTAGGCCATGTCGGCATTTGAATTTGATGTCTTCCAGATATGAACGCATAGTGCGTACGGTTTTAGGCGTAATGTGTAGTCTACTAGACTACATCATCATTCGAATTTGGTGTCGCCCAGGAATTAACTAACAACTTTTAGGCGTAAGAGGTAGTCGACTAGACCACGTGAGATTCGAATTTGATGTCGTCCAGAAATGAACTAACCACTTTTAGGTATAAGGGGTAGTCCATTAGACCACGTCGGCATTCTAGTTTGGTGTAGCACAGATATGAACTAACTACTTTTAGGCGTAAGCCTAGCCCACATCATCATTCGAATTAGGTGTCGCCCAAAAATTAACTAACTACTTTTAGGCATAAGGTATAGTAATCACTAGACTACGTCAATATACGAAATTGCCACTAATATTATCATTACTTACTTCAAATTCGGACATAGTTTTCTTGATAATCTATCCAAATGCATAGTAGCAAGGGCTTTCGGACCAAATGACGTTTTGAACATTTCAGGGTTTTGGTTTTGAAATATCGCATCTTTCAGAATCACAGCAAGATTAAAGATGGCTTCAACAGTACCCATTTCGTTGGCCATGTTAAGCATTTCCTCGCATCCAGACTCCGTGGTGACATCATGAGTAGAGATGCGAACGTCGGCTCCATAGGATGACCACATCCTGTTAATAATTTTTACTTAATAGTTAAAAAATATATATTAACAATCATTATATTACGTGAAGCAAATACTTTGTAACCCTTTTTACGAAAATTGCGCAGAAAGAGGTGTCTGAAATTTGGCACACTTATATTATTAAAAAATACGTTAAATATATATATATATAAAACATTACATCCACTATTAAGTATTTCATACATACGCATAGAATTATATCTTTGATAATACAACGAAACTTCACTCAATCACTAGATTACAATGCTGTTAGAAAGGACCTACAGTGATAATGTTAAGACTTACCTCAATCTTGTCGACTGGTAACCATTACTGACACCTTTGCGGGAAGTCAGTAGAATCTTTCTAGCTCCTCTCAATATGCACCAGTCAGCTAATTCTAAGCCGAACCCACCTAGACCTCCTATGATTATGTATACACGATCCTCATGGCACATGTACCTGGAAAAAGAGTAATAATAAAAACCTACAGGAAAATAAAAGAAAACCCAAAAATTCACACAGAAGCCATATAGTCTCAAGCTAAACAGAGCATGTACTATATAATATTTGTGGCTAAACAACAACAGATAATGAAAAATGAAGAGTACGTATTTTGTGTAGATTTTTTTTGTGTATTTTTATTTAAAACATATTTTCATATTTCTTACCCTTATCGAGTTATTTTGAAAAAACAACACTTCTTTTAATTTTATCATCGTTTTCCCGTCAACTTAAATCAAAATTTCTATTTGAACATTATTATTCATGTATTTGCGGACTTATTTTTACATATTGCGCCAAAACTAGTCACATCATGTTTAATTTAAAATTTTACTGCACTAAATATTAATTCAAATATTTATGTAATGTATTTATATAAAGGATCAATGAGTAATACTTTACCTAGGAAGCGCTTCGATAGGCATACACGTAGGTTTCACTGGTAAATCAGTTTGCTCCTCATTCCGAATTTTAATAAGCACCTATTAAATGAAACAATATTCTATATATATATTAGCTGGGGAGTCTATCTATCTATATCTATGTCGCTTTGCTATATAAAAAATAACATCGCTATTAAAATATAGCGGTTGTTGATAGAAGCGTGAAAATTTATGTATTTTTTAATGACAAATTATAAAAAAAATATATTTTTACCGAAAAATTAAAAAAATGTTAGGGGTATGAAAAATACATAGTAGCCGATTCTCAGACTTACTGAATATGAATATAAAATTTCAGAAAAAAACGGTCAATACACATACTGTAATACAATACAGTCTAACATTGTAACACAAGAATTTTATATATAAGATGGATGTACTCGTATATATTATATGCGAATACTGTTAAAAATGCAACCAAATGAAACCAGCAGCCAAATGCTGTCAGTCACTATATTGATTGCTACGAGTGTGATTTCCCAAGGCTCTGTTACGATTAGTTAAGCTCCGTGTAATAATTTGCTTCTATGATATACTAGTTGTACCCGCAGTTTCATCCGCCTGCAATTCATAGCCTATATTCTGATGTATAAGTTATATTATTGTAAAGTCTTATTAAAATCTATTCAATACTTTTTGCGTGAAAGAGTAAAAACATCCATCCATCCATTCTTCTCAACATCCTTCACGACTCTTTTCCGATTTAATTTTTAAATTATTAAAGTAATTAAAGTAAATATAATTAAAACAATATTTATTTAAAAGAGCAACACACAAGTTTCTTGCTCATTCTTCTTGTGACGAGTCTGCAATCCGAATGAGCGGTAGAAAAAAAAAAACTTGACTATTCAAAAGTGCTTATATGAAGTTTATTTGAATAAAGATTATTTCTATTTGGGCTTAATTTGATTTGAACTCACGAATTCACTTCTACGTCGAAGTAGTAGGAACAAAATGCTATACAATTAAATTAATATAATTTTGTTACCTTCCCAATATGTTTTCCTGCAGCCATATACCGGAAAGCAGTTTCGATTTCATGCATTTCGAATGTGCAATAGGTTAATGGGCGAACAGCTCCGCTCATAATTCCAGCGAGTACAAGTTCTTTCAGCCTCTGTTAGAATTATGAATCTTAGTGTCATTATGCAAAAAGTACATTAGACAAAAAATAGACCGATTAAAAAAACGGCATTAAAAATAAAAAAAAATCAAAAGCATTACAATGTAATCACATTGCAATGTTTTTGATTTTTGTTATTGGTGTAACATTTTGACGACTTCGGTGGTCTAGCGGTCAAGTACACCGCTTTACGACCGATGGTCGCGGGTTCGATTCCTCGCATGGCACAAACATTTGTATTCATGAATATGATTGTTTGTATCGATCTGGGTGTTTTCTATGTATAATATGTATGTATTTACAAAAAAAATATCTATGTATGTATCAGTTATCTAGTACCCATAACACAAGCTCTAGCTAGCTTAATTTGGGTCTAGATGGCTCTGTGTGAATTGTCCTGAGATTATTATTATTATTATTATTTTAAGATATTGATATGTATCATAGCAAATAAAAATAAAAAATCATTTATTCATGTTGGACACTTCAGCCGCTTATGAACTTAATTTTTTTTGTATTCTAATTTTTCGCTACCATCCAGTTCAGTGTATAGTCAAGTCTATATGTAGTCTCAACGATATTTAGCTACCAACATGAATTTATTTAAATTTATCTAAGACTGAATCCTGAAAATGCTACAGATAAAGTAACGCACAAACACAAAAACAATTCAAATATTTGTATTGTGCAATGAATCGAACCCGCGGACATTGGAATTAAAGCGATGTGTTAAAACTCTAGAATACTGAGACCGTCATATATGCAGAAAATTGTTTTTGTTTTGAAAATTTTAATAACTATAAAACTTAAGTTAGATATAACATTTTAATTTAAAGCCATACCGAGCAATAATGAAGTATGTAACAAGAAATTAATTAGTAAATTGAAGTTAAATAGTAATTTGAATATTTTAAATGTGGATAGTTAGACTCAGTATCATACTGTAATTGTCAGACTAATGATGTAATTTAAAATATTATTATAATATTTTACAAGCCAAAAACGGCATGTTTGGAATAATAATAATTTTAAGACCACTATGTACACATGTTTCAGTAAATATATTGATTTAAATTAAAAAATTGAATTAGATCTTTAGTAAGTAGATCTTACTTGTTAGTTTTATATATATTGATAATATTTATTCATAAGCACAAGCATGCAATTTATAAGCAAAATGCACTAACCTCTAAAACTTCTGAGCCTTCGTAGAAAATATCATCCAACATAATACCGTGAAAAGAGGTTTCTTTAGGAGCGATTTCTAGCAGCGTGTTGTTGCTAACATCAAATTTGCCAATTTCGAGGAATCTGCCACGGTAACGGAGGCATCGGACCGACGCCTATCATAGAACAATGATACAAATAAGAAAGAAGAAGAAAGCAATTCAAAATCAAGAATTCATAGGTACTAAATGGAATAAATCAAAATGGTAATATTGTTATGACAACATTATCGTAATCTATGTATTTATATAATAACTGTTCTGAAAGAGGGTAACAAGTAACGGGGTTTTAATGTTTCATGCAAAAAGTACGGAATTTGTTTTAATGAAACTTTACAATAATATAGATTATACATAAGAATAACACAGAGACTATAAACTTCACGCGAATGAAACCGCGGGCATACATACATTAGATTACATGGTGTGGAGGCATAACATTATAGTTTGCAGGAATGGGTGAAGAAATGCATGATAAATACCATGGGCAGCAAATATTTATGTGATGTCAGTAATCGATCATTTATATAGGTGACACTTTCGCTAGGACATTTTCAATTAGCACTTTCAATTAGGTGAGCAGTTAAGTCTTTTATGATGTCAGTGATACTAGTCATTAATATAAGTGATACTTTCAATCAGGTGAGCAGTTAAATTACCTATTCATAATCATCCTAATTCATAGGATATTATATTGGTAAATTAGGTTGTGCATACGTAGATCAAAATGTTTTGATAAAAGATGTCAATACTATAATAAGAGTTTAAAAAAAATTAAGTTGTCTTTAAATTAGCCTTACATGAAGTTTGTCATCCGAAAGAGAATTGAGCACTATATCCACACCTTTGCCGTTCGTTTCTCTACGAATCATGTTCTCGAACGAAGTGTCTCGTGAATTTCCAATATGACTATCTGTTGATAAAATTAATTATTAAGTAGACAAAAGAACATAAGTATACAAAAGAACAAAATTCAAAAGGTTAGAAAAATAATACCATAGAATTTTTGTGCATTAATTTATATTTGTGACTTAGGTGAAGGAAAAACAATAACAAATCAAAAATTTATTCAAGAGATGGCGGCATGCTCGCTGTAAAATTTTATATGACTCAACAAAATGTTGATACAGTGTTGCGTTCACTATGACGTCGACAATAATGCCTCTATTACTCTATCTGGAATAACAATCATGAAGTTAGAAGGGAAGAACCTTATATATCTTATTTACCTTTAAGTTTTGGAAATAGTTTCTTAATCAGTGCTCTCTTTTCAGGTGTACCAACAGTGGTGAACACTTCGCACCCATAGTGAAGTGCTACGTTAATAGCAGCTTGTCCTACTCCACCTGATCCGGCATGAATCAGAACAGACTCACCAGGTCGAATTTTACCAACCATTACCTGAGAGAAATGGATTAATAGATTCATCATTATCATAATTTCAATCCAACTTTCTGAATCTACTACTGTATATGAATCTACCTATTTCATCACTAGTATGACAGACACTAGTACAGTTCGTAATGTCCCAATTTTTTTGTATTATTGCAATATTTTTGAGATTCTCACTTTACTAGTAGGAATAATCCAGAAGAATCATCAGTATTGTAAATTTCTTATTTCAGAAAAATGAACCAGTAGTATTTATTAATAAAAATATAAATATTTGCTTATACCTAAGATTTTCTCGTCATGATATAATAGACCAGACTAAAAAGGAGTATCCTTGTCTATTTTATACTAATATTGTAAACGTAGAAATTTGTGAGTGTCAAACTAACAGTCATCAATCCAATGCACTCCTTTACGTAAAAACTACTGAATGGATTTTAATGAAACTTTAAATCAGAATAATACATAGGCTAAAAATTTAACGCAGGTGGAAGCGCGGGTACAGCTAGTTCCAAATATACCTATATATTATTATGTGTCATAATTGATTGATTACATATATTTGATTAAGACTTTAAAGTTTACCAAACAAGCAACAAAACCTTAAATGAACATGGCGAACAAAAGATGCTTGTATTTAAATTGAAGCACTTGGTTTTCATCGTGATGAAATTCCAAATATTATTTCAAACACTTGGATACAGAGTTATGAGAGTATCTAATACACTTGTCAAATGAGCTCCAATACTTACCATAGCACAGTAAACAGTAAGGTAAGTAATAGGCACGGTAGCCGCTTCTTGAAAGCTCCACTCATTAGGAATGTCCCAAGTAAGTGTTTTGCTAGCTTTTACCATGTTTGCCAAACCGCAATTTGGTACAACGGACATGACTCGAGAACCACTAAAAAAAAGAATAAAGATAAAGTTAGTTGTAAAGGGTACAAAAAGATTTTAAGAAATGTTATATATTTTTTTTATTTTCAACTAACACTCCATAGCAACCTTAATACAATTAATTCTACTGTAAATGAACTTCAGAATTAAAATCCTTCTAGTATAAATTCCATTTTAAAATGGAATTCCATTAAAAAAATTCTACTGTACAGTGACGTTTTAGGAAACTGCTTCTAGAACGCTTTTATACAAGAATACAATATTATTGTTCAGACTATATACTTATCATCATCTACTTCTTTCTTATCCCATTTAGAGCATATACTTAATGGAAGAAAATAAAATTAATAGATGCTAGAACAGCTAAATAACTATAACTTGAGCAAATAGTCTATACAAACTTCGGTGCACGTCCCACAATTTCTATTCCTTGCACGTACTCCTGAGCAAGTCTACCACGAGCGACGGCATCTACTGTCACACGGCCACTGGCAGTCATGATATCACGGAAGTTTAGTGCAGCACAGTATACCTTTGGTGGAACAATACAATCAGTAATGGTATGACATATAGTACATGATGTATAGCGAAACTTGAAATAAAGAAATATAATAATAAATTACAAACGACCCTGAACAATTAACACAGCACCATCCAGTAAGCAAACCTTGTGTTATGAGTACTAAATAACTGGTATAAATACCTAGATAGTTTTTTGAAATACGTACGTAATATACATAGAAAACACCCAGACTCATACAAACAATCATACTAACTCACGAATACAAATGTTTGTACCGTGCGAGGAATCGAACCCGCGGAAGGATCGTTAAGGTCACTCTAACATAGTACATTGCTGACTATAGAGATATTGTTGAACCATATGCTATTTTCTATAATTTCACGGTTGCAGCTTCATATCTATTCTTCTTGGCAGCATTCCGAACGTATTAGGAGGAACATAAATTATTATTTAAAAGTGCTTAAAATTAAGTTTATTTTCATAATGACTAATTGTATTTTACTATAGTCTAAAAATACCACTTACTTGCACCAGCACATTATTAGGATCTTTGAAAATCTGATCTTTCCTGATTGGACCTTCGATCCATTTTAGTGAGGATAGATTCCCGATAGTTAATGGACTAACGAAAGCGTGATCTGCACGAACAGTATCTAAATTTCCAAGCAGCAAGTGGCGGTACGTGCCCCATTGACCCTGTGTATATATTAAAATTCTTTATTGGTATGTAATTGCCTAAAATTTATTAATGTGGTATTCGCCTGTAATTGGCATATGCATTATATGTAAACCATTAAGTACTCAGTTACATTATTCATAATGTAAATACATATATATGCTATAGGTGAAATGATTTTGAATAAGTAAATATGTAGGTCTTAGTATCAGAATGATCGTATTGAATTTGATACATAAATAATCACAATGATATGGCCTAGAGTACTTAAATAAATCTAATACTCCAAATAATCATATTCCATAGATGACTAAAAAATCTAATACATGCAAGAAACTGAATCCATTACTAATAGTAATATATACTCACATCCTGATAAATATTAATAGCCAAATATTTCTGTAGCTGATTTTTATAGAACTCTAAATCTGGATTGAATTTAGCAGCAGCAGGATCAGAAATTAGAAAAGCACTGAAAATATCGCCGCCTGGTTCTCTTCTTAGACAATTAACTAAACCAAGGAGTCCATTAATATATTCTCCTTGTGTGTATAATATAGTTTTTTGTCCTGTTTTTAAGTTTTCTTGAACTTTCTGTATCCATGAGAAATTTATATCGGTTGCGTCTATTTCGATGTACTCATTCGCTTGGTTGCCTATTATACGTTTTCTTAAAAGCACTGTATATTCTGCTCCAATGTTTTGTATAGTGATTAATTCGTATTCATCAGATAGTTCATTGCCACTAGGGTGGTCTTTTTCACGGCTTATAATAAAGCAATTTTCGCGAAGAGTAGATGCGGCTTGCTTTAATACCTATAATATAATAGATGCAATTTATACGTATATTATTTAATTTAATAAGAATAAAATTCGTTGTTTAATTATGTGATTACATAGTTATTGCACATACATAGGTGCTGTTCACGAAGCTTAAAAAAGCATTTAAATTTCAACATCAAATAATAACAAACTGGTTCATATATAGAAAAGTCTGCACGCAGCATGATATCAATACGCTAAGATACTTGCGGAATTACCTGGCTTTTTAGTCAAGATATTATGCTGAGCAAAATAAATTTAATGCAATAACATTTGAGAATACTTTTCTAAAATTGAATATAAGTTAATTTAATGAAATATATGTATATAAAGAATTTAATATGTAGGAGACGTAGAGAAAAATAGACGTATACTTCCATACTTAGGACCTGATCAAGCCATTTTTTTAGTTTATCTAATTATTTGATATAAAGTTATGTGTTTAGTACAAAATGGAAGATAAAGTCGTAATGAATTCAGAACTATGTAATATATTTAAATACTTACAGAATCTCTGTTCAATAAATTAGCACCAATACACAATACTGCGTTAGATTCTCCACTAAGTTTCTTTTTGTCTACATTAACAGTCGGCGACATTTCAAATGTTTCTTCAGATATTAACATTAATTCAGCTTGAACTAATGGTAGATCAGCAAGAATTTCGCCAATCTGTTCTATTATCGGTTGCAGATTATTATTATTATACTCTACATCGATAAATTCAATGGTTTTAACTTTATAAGTTGGCATATTTTCAAGAATCAATTGTACATTAGCGCGGAGGCATTCTTCGAGCTAAATAAAACGGAATGAAATATTAGTTTTAAAATCTAAAAATTAGCAAAATGATAAAACAATAATATGAAAATCACCTATGTGTATTTGTTTACCGACAAGAAGTTTAAGGGCAAATAATATTATATACTACTATCTTCTTTGCATTTTCTATGTAATTCTTACCTTCATCGTGTGATTTCCAAAGTTTGGTATAAATACGTTCTTTTCCAACACAGGTTCACCTAATGGTGCTCTCTTGGAAATAGGTGTGGCATGCAAACCACGAATTTCTACGCCTCCCGACCTATTGACATTAATAACCGTATACACCTCTACAATTCCAGTGCTTTTATATATTTAAGATAAGTCTATTTTTATTTTATTATTTAGTTAGTTCTTTTATACTCGATTGTCTCTAATTAGTAGTATTACGGCAGCATCTAAGAGTGGACTAGTACACATAAATTAGGATCCACCTGCCTCTTGAGATTCTTGAATAACGAACGAAACTGACAAAAGTACAAAGTTTATATCGATAATATTGGTAATATTAAGAATACAAATATTTGTATTATGCGGGGATTTAGCTCTTGATCACCAGAAATTAATACAGCTATGTCTGTGTATCACCAAGAACACGAAAGTTAATATTATTATCGCATAAAGAAATGTAAATATATCTTTATTTACCATAAAATTATTCGTGCTAAAACCCGATTAACAATGTGTTCCTAATATTAATAATCTACACGAAAGTTTAGCAATTACGTCAAATTCAAATCAAACTAATTCAACTTACCTGATAACATTAACATCCGGGTATACTCGAACTTCTAAAGGATGCAGTTTAGAATTAGAATTTGTTTTTCTTATAATATTATAGTGAACATCAACATCTATTGACAGTCTCTCGATCCTGGTGGGTACGAAGAGACCACGGGTATCTTGGCCGATGATCTTGAGTTGCAGCATGCTGTCCATAAAGGTGATCCAGTTGTTAATCCAGGCGAGACGGCCTCGGGTACCTTCCACATTGCAGCTGATAACTCCTCGAAACAGGCGGCTATAGAAAAATGTGCTTTAAAAAATCATTTCATATTCAGTTATTCCCGTAACTTACTCTGGTGGACCACTAATTGAACATAATGATTTCATTTATATATTTTGACACCATACAGATTTTATCCTTCAATTATTATTATTAATATAATATAATAACTTTGTACATTATTAAAATATCTACTTTTTACTTGTATCTATTGTTATCAAAATTAAATTATAAATTCTTGACTTGACCACGACTATGTGACCCCCTCCTGGCGCCAAAGCTGGATCCGCCCTTGTACCAATATACATGACTATATACAGTACCATGGGTATCACGTCATTATGTGACCCTTCCCACTCATGTGTTACCATTTCGGAAGATTAAGGTATTATGCTTCATCTCTCAGTAATTTTACTGCTATACCTCATAACCAAACGTTTTGAGAAATATGAAAGTAGACAGAGGTACTCACGGAGACTTTGTGTCTCGGTAAAAATAGTTGCAGAGTCAAAATGCTATTGTTGCTATTGCTGACAAGGCCCTTTTGTCAATTTAGCATTATAAATATTTATTACCTGTACTGGTATCCTCTAAGTCTTAGTTCCTTGTAGAAATCTTTGGTGGACACGTGTTTGATGTTGGGTCCTGAGATTTCAGTTTGCATCGGTAACACTCGATAGTCTTGTCCAACATTATTCTTTAAATATGCACATCCTGTAACTATAGACGCACCGCTTTCCACTATCTAAAATGAACGAATTATACCAATATTTCACTATAACTTAACAATGTTAGTTGTAAGTATAAAAATGAATAAAACTTATTAACACCATCTAGTGGTACCGCTGTAAAACTAAAAGTAAAAATGCTATCTTGTTCTATTGAACAACCTAGGTAACATTTTCTTTGAACTAATAAATTAAAGGAATTTTAAATGATTAAGGAAAAAGGTCAAAATCAAACCTCAAAATTTCCGCTTCCTCTGTGTATGATAATAGTAAATATTAAGTATCCATCCTGTGGAACGTTAGTAGCTCTTAGAAAGCGAACATTCTCGAAGACCACTGACAATTTGTCAAACAGTAGTCCCATCATTTTACCAAGTGTCTCCCATACAAGAACCAGGTATCCAGTGGCCGGATAGAGGATGCGACCTGTCGAGTAACAGCTGTAGGTTTATATTTATTTTCCTGGAATAGTCTGTCGCCTATATTGACGATCTCGGTGGTCTAGTGATTTAGGACACCGCCTCACTTCCGATGGTCGCGGGTTCCTTTCCTCGCACGGTATAAACACCCCCTCAGATCGATCCCTCGTCCAATTCAAACGGGGATCGATATTACGACAGTCTGAGCCGAACTTCGAACCCCTAGCGGTGCCTTTAGACTAAAGCCGTATCAGTTAGGCGAGAGTTGGCCTTCAGCCGTTCCATAAGTCCTTCCGCGGGTTTGGAGTGCATCTGTACTCGCCCTTTATCGTCCGATGGAGCTGTAAAGACCAGCTTCGGCCAACAGCATTAGAGTAGTCCGGAAAAAAGTTAATATAAATGTTTATATATTTATGAGTATGATAGTTTCTATAGGTGTGGGTGTTTTCTATGTATTCAGGTTATCATGTAACATGGCATTTCTTCAGGGTCAACGTGTCCATAGGCTATGATAACCGTTTAGCATCAGATGGACCGTATGCTCGTTTGCCACCTACGTGGTATAAAAAAAATAAAATAGAATACTACTCGTGTAAGCACCGGATAGCACAGGCATCTGGTAATTTCTGTTTTATTTACATGAAAAGTTTTTAAAATACATGTGTTTTTAATTATCTATTAAAAAAACATGTCTTTCTTCTTATGCACCAAACCTTACCATCAATAACATGGCCTGCCAAGTATTCATTCTCCTCGTCTGTAATTGAAACGCATACCTTTCTTTCACTTACTAATATTTTCTCTTCAGTTTTGTATGACGCTACAAACCTAGAAATATAATTGAATAGATATAATTTAATAATTTTAAAAGAAAGTGTATGATATGAACGTGGATGGCTGGAAAGTGAGAGGACGCTCTAAAAAAGATGGATGGACTGTGTGAAAGATGATATGGATAAAAGAAGAGTACGCTCAGATATAACGGCCGATAGAGATCAGTGAAAGAGAATAACATACTGTGCCGACCCAAATAATGGGATAAAGACAAGGTAATGATGATAAATTTATTACTTTTTTAAATATGACGCGGCCATTATATATCCTCTATCTATCCATACATTACATGCAGTACAATACATAAAATTATTAAATATTTATTTCTTTAATTACCAATTTTCATTATGCTCCCACTCTACTAAATGTGCCAAGTAAGGTGTACCTTGTGACACGGGTAAAGGCACGTGGGGATAGATGTTAGCAAGCTGCGGGTTCAGTCCCAAATTGTACAATCTGCAAAATGAATACAAATTATACAAGTAAATAGAGGTATGGTGATTACGACAAGAATGTGATTAAACAACAATATTTGTTAAGTTAATTGTGATTTAACCCTTTATTGTGCGAAAAAATCTTCAATAAAACCTCCCCCGCTGAAGGGGTGATTAGGGGTTTTGTGGGATTCTTACCTTTTAAAAAACCAAACAGTGTACCTACGAGCGCCAATGCTGGAGTTACGAGGTTTCGTTATTAGAGATTATACATAATTTAACCCTACAGAGCCAATTACTTACATAAGGTATAAAAATATCTTCTCAAAATGTATCTTATTGGACTCTTCCGAAACGGCTTGGCTGATTTTTATGAAATTTTGCAAGTATATTCAGTAGGGCTAAGAATAAGCCGTAAACGTATTTTCAGGAACCCTAAGTGAAAAGGGTGGTCCACCCTAGAATCTATTTTATATTTTTTGAACATTTTTAATACAACACAATAAAATTAATGTATATTAGTCGACTAGTACCAATAATATATATAATAGTCTGTTTAGCTCGGAACTAGATGGCGCTGTGTGAAAATTCCAACGATATTATTATTATTCTTGTATACACTATACATGATATATATGTATAGTGTATACAAGTGTATATACAATAATATAACATAAAATTAAATAAATATAATTACAATTTTATTACTCACGTTCCTAGTGCCGTAAAAAGAGTTTGTATATTACATTCATTGCTTTTCTGAGCTAGTGGTACTATCGTAGTATTCTTCTTGATGGAACCTCTCAAAATAGTTTTCAGAAAGTCACATGGAGCTACCTCTATGATAACTGCATTGTCTTGAATAAGCTGACAGACATCTTCAAAGAGAACTGGACTCTGTTAATAAAAATACAGTTCTCTAACAGAAATTTTAATTTATAGGAAGAGATTTTATTTACATCCTATAATCTATATTGGGGCAGTAAAGTCCTCGAGTGACGACCACGGACCGGAAGACGCAGTGTGGGAAGGCCTCCAGCAAGGTGGACCGACGATCTGGTCAAAATCGCTGGAAGGCATTGGATGCGAGCAGCGCAGGACCGATCGTCGTGGAGATCTTTGGGGGAGGCCTATGTCCAGCAGTGGACGTCTTCCGGACTGCGATGATGATAATGATGATAATAATCTATATATACGTAATAAATTTATAGCTCATGTGTTATTCTGAAGTACATTATTGCAGCTATATGATTGCAAAGTTTAATTAAAATTCATTCGTTATTTTTGCGTGACAGAGTAAAAACCTATACATACACTCGCAAACTTCCGCGTTTATAATATTAGTAAGAAGGCAAACAAGTTGATGGCCCACCTGATGAAGTGGCTAAGTCGTAACTATATACTTACTCCATGGTTATAACGTTATTATGTGAAGCCCATAGATATCATTTCAGAGGATTATGGTATTATACATCTACAGCCTGTAATTTTACTGCTTCATCTCATCCTTCAACCGAAACATATCTTACAAAGCAAGCTGCTTAGCGGCTCAAACATGTGAACTTAAGGCACAGGTGTACAAATACAGCATAGTTGGTTTTGTCTTAAATAATTAAAGCATATTATAAAGAGAGAAAGAAAATTTGTTACAATTTGAGGCATTCATTTTTGTCAGGTATTTTATTCCAGAATAACATAGAGTGTATTTTATACTAACAATAAGGTTCGTAATATGAGCACCAGATCGATACGGTTAGCAGATTTAATCAAATCAAATCAAAAATTATTTATTAAAATAGAACATTTTAGCCGCGATGAACGTCAAGTTTTTTGTATTAATATTATTCCCTACTGTCCAGTTCTGTGCACAGTTAAAAAATAACAAAATAAAAGTGAATATCTGTTAGAAATTGTTCAGTAAAAGATAAACGAAACATACTAAAAGACTGTGGATGTGATATTCGGCAGAAGACATCTCAATATTTGGATTCTTCCATTCACTGCGAGGAACTGATGTGGATATCCAATGCTCCGAACGGGGTTTTGGAGATGTAATTATTTCCTTAAGATACTTAAGAAGTTTGGGACCTGTAAATTATTATAAAAATTAACAAAATTAATATATGAAGGTCCGGGTAGTCGAGCGTTTTGGGGAGGAATATACGTCAGGTTTTTAAGACAGTAAGGATGCGGCAGTTCCTCTGTGTAGTTCTATGAATCTTCTGGTATGACTCTATGAATATTTTTCAGACACTGCCTTACTTCCTATAGACGCTGGGTTCGCTTCTTGCATGAAATTCATAAGTAGAAAACAAGCAGAACTAACAAATTATTTACTGAAAAATATATTTATGTATTTATTAGTTGTTTAGTACAATAATAAATACAAGTCTGTCATAGCTAAATACTTAATAGTCAGGTCCTAATCACTAGATGGAATTTTATGTACTAAAAATATTGTACGGAACGCCGTTATCTCTCCAGAACTGTGAAAGAAGTCACTGACATTTAAAACAACAATTTCAGTACTGAAGACGGTTTTATGTTGTCTAGCATACAAAATCCAGTCTTAGGTATACTTCAGATAGGTGTAAAGCTAACGCGATATCCTTGAAAAAGTCGAAGTGATACAGTTAGTTTTTTTAGGACTCTTCAAATGCTGTTGGCCGCAGCTGGCCTTTACAGCTTCACTGGACGATAGTGCGAGTGCAGATGGCACTCCAAACCCGCGGAAGTACTTATGGAGTGGCTGAAGGCCAACTCCCGCCTTACGGATACGATTCTAGTCTGAGGACACCGCAAGGGTTCGAACCTCGACTCAGTTAACAGTTTAACAATATTATAATGGTCAATATCTCGTTATCTCGCATGTAAATATAACAACTGTGAAAAAAGTCTAAATCTGTGCATAGTTTGGCTTATTTTGTGACTAGATGGCGCTGTGTAAATGGTCCTGTATTAGTACAAATATTGCCTAGAAGCTGTCCTAATTAAGGATTATTTTGCCAAATTACTAAGGCACAAATTAGTACCGTACATAATTATTCCTTTGAGGATAATAACTGCTTGTGTTGGCGAAATCTCAGCTGTAAAATTACGAAATGCGACTTACATTAGATATTGTATTTAAGCAGAATTAACAAACTCTCGTTTCTAATCTATTTCATTTTTTATTGCCTATAAAGTATTTTAGATGGTGGTATAACGATTTTTTTTAAATGATAATGGAATGGTGCACCCGCCTGCGCTAACGGTTTACGCTGGCGGGGCACCAGTGGAGGATGATAAGATGAACATGAGGTCAAATCAGTTAGCCCAACGTGACAAATTCACCGGAATGTATCACGATGGTTTCCAGGGGGAACCGCGTGGAGGTCGATCTGACATGGTACATTGCTAGCAATGGGAACATTAGTCCACATTACTAACAATCCCCTTCCCCCCGGTATAACGGTTTAGCACACTACTTTCCGATGGTCGCGGGTTAGATTCCTCACATGGTGCCAAATATTGTATTCATGAGTATGATTGATTATCGGTCTGGGTATTTTCTATGTATATTATATATGCATTTACAAAAAATATATATCTAAGTATTGATATCAGTTGTCTAGTACCCATACTCTGCTTACGCGGGACTAGATGGCGCTGTGTTAATTGTCCAAGGTTATTTATGTATTATTATTATTACAAGTGGTTTTAATGTTATAAAATTACCAGCTTCAGCAACGTATTGTGAATGGCAAGCAACATTGGAATGTGGAACTTCTTTCACAAATATTCCTTGAGTTGATAACTTGGCAGTAAAGGTTTTCATACTATCGATAGGTCCAGATATGGTGCTGGAATCAGGACTATTACGACAAGCCACTTCTAAATCTGGTGGACATATTGATTTAATCTGTAACATAGTATATATATCATCACATTTAATATTATTTTGTGCTTCGTTAGTTTCAAAATATAATGAACTAAATAAGAATTAGCAAGTATTAGTTTCGCCATTATAATAACCATTTATTTATTTACTCTTCTAGACACAAAATGTTACATACAGCGGACTTGATGCGTGGAAGCTTTTCTTTCTTTTTATTCAGAACATTTTCATTATCCCCAGAATCTATTGGTTATATAGTTTTCTACTTTACATGTAATGCTATAATGATCTCATCGAAGACTTTCAAATTGTTACTGTAATGTTATGTTTTAGTAATATCATAATTTCAGTAAAAGAATTGGAGTCATAAGAAAGAAATAATGGATGAACCGTTAAATTCAATCATTTTAATTCATAATTAGTGCACCTGAGATCGTAACGTGATACTATATAATCTTAAAGCCGCCCTAATAAAGGGCTTAGTCAGTACTAAAATATTTTTTAAATTCATACCAGAAGTGCCTATGATTAGCGCGTTCAACCAAATAGATAAACAAACTCTTGAACTTTGTAATAATATGAATAGCTCCTCTGCGAACGTTGGACCAATCATAAGGACGGTGAATAAATGAAATGCTAACAAATTCGTCTCACACAATTGTAAACCACGCACAATGATCCAAATGCGAAGTTGATTGTGTTAAATAGAGTTTATATACACCATTGGAAGTAACAATAAAAAAAATAATCACTTGCCTCTTTATAACCAAGACCAACAATTGCCATGGATCCTTTAATGAGCTTTGTCTCAGTAAATGCCAGACCTTGACTGTAAGCAGATAGAATCATCTGTTCTGCTGACAAGCAACCATCAACATACGCGCAACCTAATTCACCAAAACCATAACCTAAAAATAAATTATTTATTTATTTCCAATGATTTAATTTTCCAGCATTAAAAATCGATTACAATGAAAAACAAAACAAAGATCGAATAAAGTGCAAAAGTCGGTATTTGAAAATTGAAGTGTCTGTATATATATTCAAATTAACAGATTGTCACTAGTTGTATACAAAAGTATACGGAACTTGATGAATACAGTACAATATACATGCTAAGCAGTAGGACAAAATAGGTCGCCTTAACAACGAGATAGGGTCTACCCAACACCACCTTCATGACGGGCTAACGCCATCGGAGTCGCAGTAGAATGATAACGCGACCTCAGGACTCTGGCAACGGCGCTCGTAGGTTTGGTTTTTTAGTGATTATGAACCTCACAGATTTGAAGATTTCTCCACACAATAAAAAAACTTTCTCACCGATAACATAATCAGGTGTTATGCCAACAGTCTTTAACACATCAGTAAGGCCAATCTGAACTGCTGCAATGCCGACGAAAGTGTTCAGGATGTTATTATGAATCTTTGGCTTGGGTTCCGAAATAATCTTGATTAAGTTAATCCCTTTTGTTTTTAATGTCTTATGACATCTGTATAGAAACAAGGAGAAATGTATATTATGTGTCGACCTAACTTGTTATTTATTAGTTCATTGCAACTCGATACAAAATTATTCCTATTGAATTAAGAATTGTGAAGTACTTAAGTATATGGTGACGACGTGGAGGGGGGAATTGTTAATAACTTTACTGCGAACAAAGGGTTCTATAAAATTCTCCACACGGTTCACCGTGGTCAATGCCAGATTTTTTTAATGTAATTGGGGCGGCAAACAAATTGTGCTTCAAAAAAAAGTTTGCACAGTTTTACGCAAAAATGACTGTTTGTTTTAATTGAAGCAGGCGAGCACCAATACGAGGACAAAATCTTCAAAATGAGTCTATGTAATACAAGTATTTTTGTACTTGTATTACATAGACTCATTCTAAAACTTTAACTAAAACTTTTACATAAAAAAAATATTGTTACACAAATTCATATATCATCAGACCTGGTGTATACATAATCAAAAGAAACGAAACAATTTCGCCTTTGTGTTCGCGTTAGGTACATCGTTTCATTTTCAAAATGATACATTATATTTAAAAAAATATGTAATGGGTATTTCTGGGCGCAAACAGTATACTAGCGATTAATATTAAGACTTAATCCTAATTATATAACAACTTTTTTAATAAGATAAACTAATTATACCTCTTAATAGCAGAAGCGAAGGCAGGGATGTTAATAAATTGCAACGCCGTGTTAGCCCAGTCCGATTCGATGCCCGAATACACGAACCAGACAGGCCGCCGGATTCCAGAGAAGTAGTAATAGTCACGTGCGATAGATACAGTTTTGGTAGGTTTTGACTCTAAAATAATTAATGCGATTTATAACTTAATAATGCCTCTTTGGATAAATAGGTCATTTTCTTTCCAGAATCGGATAAACGACATCTATATATATAAACAGCACTGTGGACATCACATCATCAAGGAACGTTCATCGTACCCCTCATGCGTTGCTATTCAAAAGACTATTTCAGATGCCATGTTACACCCTCCAACCGAAGTACCAATGCCAATACCAAAGGCCGTAAAGCTTCCAGTAAGTCATGTTTCCGTAAGTAATATTTGTGGTCTCACACATAATAATGGCAGCGGAAATAAACAAAATAATACGAAACCATTGAGTAATGAAATGACCTTGCGCAATAATATCTAATTTCACAGTTTAGTGGTTTCCTACCATGTATTGAACTTACGAGACCAAACACGTATGTCCATTTAAATGTCTAACTCCTTGATGACGGAAAGATCGATATCAATCCAGTTGGATTCAAATATACCCAGCGAAATGAGGACATGTCAAATGTTACGTTTACCAAGGTTTACGTTTAATAAATAGTTTAGCAATGCTTTTACTACTCCAACTGGAGATAACAGCGATGAAATATCTTTTATTAAGTATCTATATGAAATTGTTTTTACCTAATAATGTAAATCCTCTAAATTGGTGACCTTCAATATTTCTATCATGTATAGCATGAAACAATCTCACTTCTTCTATGTCTACTGTTCTTGATTCTAGGTCATCAAATATTCTGGCTATACCTGATTCAGTGCGTCCAGAAGCACAGACAAGGCGTGGCAAGTCATCAGTTGGGAGACCATTATTAACCTGGACAAAAGAATTGAAATATACTAAGATATCTTTAAAAAAATCCATATTGCTCTACACAATACTAGCTTCTACCTGCGATTTACCATACCTAGCTTTCGTTAAGTAACTGGAATGGCAAACAAATGGCAATTAGCACAAATAGCAGCATCGTCATTTAATGCTGCCTGACTTACTATTGTTATTATTTTACTATACACGTAATTGCATACATTGAATCTTTGCAGTACTCTCAAAAATTGTACTTCAGTATTTATGGTATATAAATGTCCACAAGCACAACCTGTGATGGGTGTGAATTGTGATTATTTTGCTATACACGTATACTTGACTTGTCTTTGCGGGTGAGAATCACATTATGATTTTGGTTCATATTCAGAGCTCTTGCTGCTTTGTTATTATTATTATTTTATTAGTTTGATTTACTACCTAACCATAGTACAGTCTTTCACTATTGGGTAGTTGATTTGGGATTCGTGGATTATGCTAATTTATTAACTAGATTTTAATCTCAGTACTTAAGGCTGTTGTAGATAAATTTCTGTAAGAAATTACCTTTTGGGGAGCAATATTCTTCAGTAGTACGTGAGCATTCGCCCCGCCAAATCCAAAACTATTAATACCAGACATTCCTCTACTCCAAGGTTGCTTCTCAGTCACAACTTGGAGACGTCCTTCAGCTAACGCAGCAACACCTTCCCGTGGTGTTTCGTAGTGCAAATTCGGTGGAATGAGTCCTGTGTTATATGCTATACACATCTTGAAAAGAAAATAAAATTCTTCTTAGAATAAAACCTATTATTAAATGACTCGGTAGACAACGCTTAAGAAGTGTATGGTCTTAGTTGTTTTGGTGTACAATATTCAAATTTGAAAAAATATAATGTAATATTTAAATTAACAGATTTTCACTAAATATAATATATTTGAAAGTATATAGGGCACAATAAACAGAAATATTTGTGAAACAATTTTTTGGCTGTATGTTTGTTCATGCTAATGTCTGAAAAGGCTGAACACATTTTGACGGGATTTTCACTCGCAGTTGGTATAGTTAGTACACATTTACAGAGCCTCTATTTCGATTCGTCATGCAATAACTTGAGAACCACTTTATTTATTTAATTCAACCGTTTTAAATTGTTTACTATTCTTTTTAATGTTCTTACGAAACTAATAATTAAGCAAATTGGTAAATTTCTGAAAACTTTAATTACTATATACATATACCTCTTAAACAGTAATGTACAATATACCTTAGCAATTGAGCAGAGACCAGAAGTAGGTTCACTGTGACCTAAGTTGGACTTAATAGAACCGATCATTAGAGGTTCAGAACGACCCGTACAAAACACATCGTCGATGGCTAGCAACTCTTCAGGATCGCCGATTTGAGTGCCTGCGGAGATAAAACATTTATTACTACTAAAATGTCCTATATTTTGCTAATATTGTTCACTTAGAGGCTTTAATTTTGTTGAATTATAATAATCTACGAGTTAAATAAGTGAGATCTAAAAACTACGTTACTGTATCTACTTGGACATATATAATGTGTATGTTTGAATATTTTTATTTCTAGTACCCATAACACAACCTCTGCTTAGCTAGGGACTAGATGGTGTGTGAAATGTTATGTGAAATGTCCTGAGTTTAGGTATACTAATACTATTATTATTAATATTTTTATATTTAAAGATGTATATAAACAGACCTGTTCCATGAGCTTCAAGAAATTCTAAACTGGCCGGTGAAATGGCACACTCCTCGTAGAATTCACTGAGCAGCAGCTTTTGTATTTTCTCCGATGGATACGTAATGCCCTGTTCTTTGTAGCCGTCACAGTTTGTCTTCGCGTGCAATATCTGAGCATATATCCTAAAAATACTCATTATTAGATTTTTTTGGGTTTGGGCTATTGTCAGGTACTAAGACCAGTAGCATTGCGACCTACATAGATCTATTGTGCTCGCCCTTTTTCAGAGTTTGCTACCTAGTCAGTGACAAGAATTGAAGGATATTCTTAGGACCGATGGTTTTTATCTCCACAGGATATAGTGTAAACTTTCCAATGGAGATATTTCGTTTAGCATGGTTATGCATGAGCTACAACCACATAGGATGTGGCGTTTCCATTAATATTATTACCGGTGAAGGTGAGTGTTGAGGTACACCCGCAAAGAGGCCACTTATATCTACACCCAGGTCACAAGTGTCGGGAACTGCTCGGAGTTTCCCTCTTTACCACTCGATGGACCCAGCTCTTTAAACCTAGACCCGGGTCACAAGTCCCAGGAACTGCTCAGAGTTTCCCTCTCTACCACTCGATGGACCCTGTTCCCGCACCGTGAATCAATGGAATGCTAAAAAGTTCGTCTTTCCCACGATATTTAATTTTTTTTTAGATACAGGATATTCTTCTGCGTCCGTCATAGTGATATATTCATGTTAAATTTCATAAATATCTGAGCGGATCAATCGAACAGCTGTTTCAATCTTTAGGAGATAAAAACAAACAAACTTTCGAATTTATATCAGTATTAACTGACCCGCGCGTCGTTGTCAGCATTACACTTATCTTAATTGTATATTGCATAATATATTTTTAAATTATAGCCTATTTCGTTATTCTCATGTATAAGCTATGTTATTCTAAAGTTTCATCAAAATCCATTCAGTAGTTTTAGACAAACTTTCGCATTTATGATATTAGTAAAATGAATAAGTTGACTTAGTTTTTTTTATGTTACTAGAATAATAAACATGCCTATGGCGGGCCGTAAATGGTTGATTAAAAATAAATAGAGTTAAAAAGATGATGATAGAAAGTGTATAAATTAAATATTCTATTGGTAACATAGCTTTTAAAAACAACTGTTACTGTTATTATTACACCATCTTACTTTCGATGGTAGCCGGATCGGTCTGGGTGTTAAAGTATTTCTATCAGTCATCTAGTATTCATAACACATGCTCTGATTGGCTTGGGGCTATAGTCCCAAGCCAATCAGAGAGATGACGTTGTGCTAATTGCTCACGATTATTTATTACTAGCTGACCCGCGGAACTTCCTACTTAACATTTATCATTATATTTCGCCAATTTTCATTATATGTTTTTAAATAATTACTTAATTGAGATTCTGATGTATAGCTTTTATTATTGTATATTTCATCAAAATCCGTTCAGTAGTTTTTGAAAGAGGAACAAGCATCCTTTCATCCATCCGTACTAACAAACTTTCATATTTATAACATTAGTAAGATATGAGTGTATACAAACTCACAAAATTATGAGCATACGGACGAAGACGGGTCGAGTCACTAGTGACATGATTGATTATCGTTAACTAATTTTAAACTACATTGCCTTACCTTTTAGAGTCTTTTGCTTTCTGCAAAAAACATACAGCTATAGCTTCAGAGCGAGCATAACCATTAGCTTTGTTATCAAAACTCTTGCAAGTACCATCAAGGGATAATACTCCTAATCTGTAACATTAATCAATAGACAAATTAAATTAAACTACTTGTTACCATGTTGAAACCAGATGTTCTAGAGTAGATAATCTTTCTTAGCACATCCTTCTATTTAGTTGTTGCTCTATTAAAACTAAAAGTAGTAGATTAGTCAGTCCTACATATCCTTATGTTCTAAATAAATTTGTTGATGTACTAGTTTTTAAAAATGCGCACTGATACGCACGCATTTTCTTAACTCTGCAAATTATTATTCTACCCCTTATCCTATCTGTGCGCTTTCTCCCACTTCTGAGGCAGTGGATGAAACAATCATGGCTTCGGTGGCTAACCACACTCCCTCTTCTGCAGCGTCTCCTCTTCTTGAGAGCGTGCTACTTCATTCTCGTGTACTTGCTCAACCTCCGGTGACAGTAATGCGCGAACTCCCTCCTCTAGCCTCCTAAAACTCCGGTAGTACACCGGACCCTCAGCTTCGCTCTCTCCTTAAGTCGGAATAGAGCGAACACTCCCACAGAACGTGATGGAGGTCCTCCTCCAGATCTAAATCTAATCCAAGTCAAGCGACAGTATTATTTTTCAGGGAATTCATCCCCACATGCTAGAACCTAAGTGGTCTCGGACAGTGTGATTTCAGAGGAGCTTCCTCCCGCGTACACTTAGATTGTGGAATGAACTACCTTCTGAGGTTTTCTCGAGAAACTACAGCATAGGATTTTTCAAGAAGAGTGTATTAAGGTATTTTAAGGGTCGGCAACGAGCATGTAATACCCCTGGTGTTTCAGGCACCTATAAGCTACGGTACCCAGTTACCATCAGATGGGCCGCATGCTTGTTTACCACCTGTGGTATAAATAAATTACCTGAAGAACTGTAGTGATATAAAGGGATGTATGCACAGGTTAGACCCGCCTACTATAGCAGAATCACAATGACCGCCCCGGATGGACTTGAAGGCGTGTTCCAGCGCGTACATCGTGCTTGAACACGCAGTGTCGATGGTATAGGATGGACCAGTCAGCCCCAGCCAGTGGGAGATGCGATTGGCCAACATAGCACGACAGCATCTGCACGCAAAATAGTATTATTTATAAACTTTTTTGTGGGCGATAGATTGAATAGTATGAATGATATTAATGAAATAACGGATTCATTAATTCATAATTTTAGAATGGTGCAAGGTACAATCATTTGTATTCATGTGTATGTATTGTTTATATCGATCTGGGTGTTTTATATGTATTTATTTAGAAAAAACGTATGTAAGTATTTATATCATTTGTTTAGTACCTATGTGAATTGTCCAGGGTTATTATTATTAGTATAGAAATATTTTTACCGTGAGAATAGAACCCGCAACCAACATAGCTATCACTGTATACCCAATACGTAAGTACATCAATAAAAAATAGTTAATAGTTTAATACTTACCCAACAATACCATAATTATTGACGTGCATCTTTTCGTAGAACCATGTCTTCTCAGATTCAGAGAAACAGCTTCCGATGAAGACACCAGTCCTAGTGTTACGTAATTCTTCAGGATTCATACCTGATAAGAAAATATTGATTGATTAAAATATCCGAGTTATACAGTATGCCATCAAAATTTATATGAATATTGTTTTGAACAAAAAGGTAATTCAATTTATTTTTGAATTTATTAGGAACTAGCTAACATGCGTAATTTCTCCTGCATCACATTTTCCCAGTTTTTGCAACATTGTACATTATTTTTCATTACAACCTCTTCAATTTTATAATAGGCATTTTTACGCAGAAAATGTTATACGGGACATTTGAATATTTTTTTAGGCAGATTTAGAACAAACTCTGGTAGTTTGTTGTAAAATCTTACGCAATTACCGTAAAACTAATTACTAACTTTAGTTAAACGGTATTTAGTACATTATTATTTAGTATAGTATTTAGTTAATCAGTTTGTTATTATTATATAAGCTTTTATTAGTGTAATCACTGAATCTTTTGAATACGTGATATTTTCATAAATACATATATTGAGAAGCAACTGTGTGGATATTTGATTCCTTAAAGCACTCTCGCAAAGACTCCTTGGACTTTGTTTAAATATTACTAAACTAAACTCACCAGCATCGTAAATCGCTTCATAAGTTTTCTCTAATATGATCCTACACATCGGGTCCATCGTGTGGGCTTGTTTGTAATGAACTCCGAAGAAGGAAGCGTCGAATTTGTTCACATTGTTGATCTTTCCAGTACGCTGGGGTATTTCGGGATGTCCTTGTTCCCATCGACGGTTGTCGCCGGATATTAGATCCACCTACGTAGAATAAAAACAGATATATATCTCAGATCATTGCTATGTATAGATGTGGTTGGCCATAGTTAGAGGAAACTAGAAAAAGTATAGACTTTGATGGCCATCGGCAGTCTAGTGGTTTATCACACTACTTTACTTCCGATGGTCGTGGTTTGATTCCTCGCTCGATGCAAACGATTTTTTGTATGGATCTGGATATTTTCTATATGTTATGCGTGTATTTACAAAAAAATATAACAAATAATCACAATCTAGAATAAAAATGATTTCACAGTGCGAACAATCGAACCCGCGACCTTCGGAAGTGAGGCGGTACGCTAAATCACTAGACGACCGAAGCCGTCAAAGAAAGGATGCCAACGCTTGAGTGATAAATACTTTACATACCCTTAAATAGTACATAAATTACATATAAAATAATACATAAAAAGTAATTTAAAATAATACATAGTTACATAATTTTATGTTGTACCTTATTAAACAGATTCTCTTGCAGATGCATCACCGAATCAGAATCCGGGAAGAATCCAGATATGCCGGTGATGCAGATCTCCTCCCCGGGTGGTGGGTGTGACAGGTGGTATCCTGACGCCAGTGCCTCCTCGGTGATTTCATTTGAAGACATCTGCAAAATTTTCAGTTTATAATAAAGCTATTTTATTATTTAACTAGATGTTACCCGCGACTGCGTCCGCGTGGAATTAAACTTTTTTTATCTTATCTTAACCCTTACTAATATTATAAATGTGAAAGTAGGGATGTTCGTTACTCTTTCACGCAAAAACTACTGAACCGTTCATCGTGAAATTTTGTACACATATTGTTGGATATTAGAGTGAAAATAGAATATTTATATTAAAAAAAATTAATGGATTCAATGCAAATAAAGCGAAAGCCACGGGTAAAAGCTAGTAATATTATAAACGCGAAAGTTTGTGAGTATCGATGCATGTTTATTACTATTTCTCGTGAAAACTACTGAACGGATTTTGATTAAAATTTATAGTAATATAGTCTATATTTATTCGGTATATTCGGTACATACACCAAAATAACATTTTTTACAATTTTTGTCTCTCTGTCTGTTTGTTCCGGCTAATCTGTGAAATGACTGGACCGATTTTGACTGGACTTTTATTGGCAGGTAGCTGATGTAATAAGGAGTAACTTAGGCTACTTTTATTTTAGAAAAATAAAGTTAAATTACAGCTATTATAATATAAACTATAAAAAAAACTATTATGCATTACTACTTACTCACCTTTGTATATGTAGTTGTTGCAATGCAAGTGGTACAAATGCTTCGGTATAGTATGTTAAGACCGTCTAAGCTATGTACTAGAAACTTAGACCCGATGGCCACTTATATAAACAAACATAATAAATTAATTACATACATTACACGTGCCATATACAGGATGTTCTATTTTCATTCTATTCTCAATATTATTTATTTTATAAACGTGAAAGTTTGTAACTACCTATTTTCATTCTTTCCTTAATATCTCATAAAAAATATAAATGCGAAAGTTTGTGAGTATAGAGGGATGGGTGTTTGCAATGCGTGCAAAAAACTTACTGACGGATTTTAATGAAACTATGTAATATAGATTCGAGTTAATTCGAGTTAAGTCGAGTTTTATGTATTATATATAAATACACACCCTCAAGTGAAAGTTGCGCAGTTTTAAAGTTTTAAGCATACATAGGGACGGACAACAATGACATCTGTTTTTTACTATCATTGATCATCAGAATAATACATACATAAATTTCATGCAATCGTCACAAATATTTAATATTATTAATAATAAATAAAGTTATCATTTAATTTTTTTAAATGATTGTCCGGTTATGTTATCATTAAAATGATTATGCGTTCTATAAGTCAACTTCTATTAATAAAGTAGTTACAGAAATATAGTTCTAATGATAATGGTTCGGTGCAGTCTATCACTAAAGGTTTAGCTACTGGCCAAAAACAATAGATTTGGATGAAAAAGGTTAAAAAAGGTAACACATTAATCTGTTTATTCCAGCGATGGATGGACTGTGTGAAAGACGATATGGTAAGAAACGAGTAAATAACGAGATTGACTGCGATTACGAGTTATGAATTGAAGATATAAACATATTACGTATACAACAAATATGGTCAATGGGATAAGGATATTATATATTAACAATATAAGTTTACAAACATTTAATAGAATTTGCAAACAAATTCTCCATAACTTTAACATTACAATGATTAACCTTAAGGAAAAACTATGTCTAAACTTTTATTTATGAACGGTAGAAAGACAGTCTCTAATCACTAGATCACCAAATGATTTAGAACCAGTTGGTTGTATATTCAATAACTTCTTCGATTTACGTATTTAATTGAACTAGATAGCTAAATTCATTGGCCAGTTATATATAAGTTGTTCAAAAAAAATAAAATGGTGGATTTATGTCCTGTAAAGGTAAATACGCAACTAACTCAGCGTAAAGTTATAGATAAAACTGCAACGCTGCTGTTTTTTTTTTTTTTTTTTTCACGTCAGGAAAATCCATCATGGAGAACCAGTCACAACGGGAAGAATGGATAGCGCCCACCGTCACGCTACCGGCTTAAGCAAATAAATAAATAATAATCATTACATATTATAAAGCAAAAGTCGCTGTCGCTGTCTGTCTGTCCCTATATATGCTTAAATCTTTAAGACGGATTTTGAAGCGGGTTTTTTAATAAATAGAGTGATTCTAGAGGAAGGTTTATATGTATATATGATACATGTACACCCGTGCAAAGCCAGGGCGAGTAGCTAGTAATGTAATAAAAAGAAAGTAATTTTGTTTTTACATTGTGAATGGGAGTAGTAAAATAGTAAGAATATTGATACTATGTCTACTACATAGTATCAATATTCTTACATACATACATATAGATGTGTCAACTCGAGTTAAATCGAGTTGCGGTGAATTCGAGTTAACTCGAGTTGAATTCTGTCAACTAGAGTTGGAAGTATTCAACTTGTAAATGAACGAATCAAGTGAAAGAGCGAGAATATGATTCTGTCGAACCGACAATGACATGAAATTTTCCGATAATTTCATATCATACAATTTTCAATCGTCACAAATATTTCTATATTGATTTGAGGTCGTTATTATTTATTTTTTCGCATATTCGTCCGGTTATGTTATCATTAAAATGATTATGTGTTCGCGGGTTCCGCGGCTTTGAAGTGCTATTTCTAATCGCCCCCTATGGTTCGGTGCAGCTATCGGTGCAGCTAGCTACGGCCAAAAACAATAGATTTGTTCGAAAAATTAAAAAAATACCAAAATCTGTTTATTCCAGGTAATTCGAGTCAACTCGAGTTAACTCGAGTTGTGTTTATTACGAGTTAGCACATTTCTACTATATAGTACATACTATATATATATAACAACAAAGTAAGTTAGTATTTACATATTATATATTAACAATATAAGTTTACAAACAGTTAATAGAATTTGCAAACAAAGACACTAACTGTTAACTAATACAATGATTAACCTTAAGGGTTAAACTAGTATTTATTAATTACTAACTACTACAGTCTCTAATCACTGCGACTGATTTACTCAACCAGTTGGTTGTATATTAAATATTTTCTCTATTCGAGTATTTAATTGAACTAGTGCTAGTTCATTGGTAGTTATAGTTCGTTCGTTTATAGTATCGTTCGTTTTAGTTAGTTGGTAGTTTTTTTTTATGGATGATAATGAAATGGTGCACCCGCCTGCGCTAACGGTTTACGCTAGAGAGCACCAGTGGAGGATTATATGATAATTTATCACGGTGGTTTCCAAAAGGAACCGCGTGGAGGTCGACCTAACTTGGTATTACCAGTTCCAATTATTAACTATTCTCTTTCCCTCCACATCGATTACCATCCGTTTGCCACTTACCATCGGGTGGGCTGCCACCTTTGCTATTCGAATTCTATATAAAATGCCGCTTACTCTAGTATTAGGTAAATACTATCTACCAGTGCTGGCACGTAATCTGTATATTTGAGCCGAAATCAAAATGTAACTAATTATAATATCTCAATAATAATATAATATCTCAGGACAATTCACACAGCGCCATCTCGTCCCAAGCTAAGCAGAGCTGGTGTTATGGGTACTAGACTACTGATATAAATACATTGATACATTTTTTTTAATAAATACATATTATACATAGAAAACACCCAGACCGATACAAACAATCATACGCATGAATACAAATGTTTGTACCGTGCGAGGAATCGAACCCACGACCATCCGATATAAAGCGGTGTGCTAAACCACAAGACCACCGAGGCTGTCGATATAATAGAAATAGAAGTTATGTTTATTCAAATAAACATAACATAAGCACTTTTGAATGGTCATATTTTTTTATTCTACCACTCATTGCTGACGCAGACTCGTCACAAGAAGAATGAGAAAGACTTGGTTACTCTGCAATCAATGTTACGTATTCTCTATGTCTGGCAGACCTTCAGGGCTGGTTAGTTGGTTATTTTCTCGACATTTATCGCCTTTCTGACATTCTTGAATATTTTTGTGTCAATGTACATGTAAATATTCTTATGTATGCAAAGTAACTTAATATCGACGACAAAAATAGTAACTGACCGATATACCTATATTTTTATGTAAATAATTTATTAACAGGGTGCGACTTTTTTTATTAATACTTAACAAAAAAGCTGTTTTCCGCAATTACGTTTTCACAAACTTTCACTCGTTTTTTTTTTGATATAATAAATGGGTAATTCTCATGAAATGCCGAAATTTGAAATAAAAACTGTAACAAATTATTGACATTAATTTGTAGATATTAATTTTTTTATGGATATTGTAGTATTGATGTCACTATATTTTAATTACATGGTGGTCCCCGGAACAAACATGTATTATGAGGAAATTATAAAAGTAAAAGTGAGGGAATGACGAGTGTTAACGTATGATAATATTATATTTATATGCAAGTTTTGTTGTATAAAAGTAGTATATTAAAAGCAGCCCTGACAAAGTAAGTCTGCAGACTATTGTGTAAAGGTGTTTGTTTAAGGAACAATGGCCCGTTATTGTCCATATCATTATTTTAGGAATCTAGATTAAGTATTTTGTTAATCAGTTTGTGTTTGGAATCAGGATTAGATTCCATCTTTGGCTTTATCTCGATCTCTGATCCAGGTGCGAAGGCGATAGGGTATTGGCATAAGCGGGATGTCTGCAGATCCTATTCTCGCTAGCTCATCCGCGGCGTCATTTTGATCCACTTAATTCACACTCCATTGGGTGCACAGATGTAGTAGGATGACGAGCTGGTCATAGTATGCGCGATATTAATACTATGAGTATTAACAACGAGCAAGGTGAGGGAGAGAACAGAACCTTTGAAATGTAAATTATGTTTAATTTAAAATAATCTTAATACATGTAAAGTAATATTATTTTCGCACACCACTAAGAACTATATATCAAAGAAAACCACGAAACAATTGCAATACGATTGCATCATTGTATTACTAACTTTAATCATATGGCACTTAATCACAATGGTAGTAAAATAATAATATTTGCTTCAAAATAACG